TCCTCTTTCCGCTGGGCTTCCCCTCACAGCTGTTGCTCCTCCTCTCAGCCACGCCTTCTCTAACGCCCCCCCTTATATGGCTGACCTCTAGGCTCAGGTGAGCACACTTGCACATGCGCACACACCCATGCTCAGGTGTCCAGAGTCAGGCACGCGCGCCACACCATGGACCAGCTCTCAGCATATGGATTAACCGTTTGTCTCAATTACTGGAGTGCTTGTCGGGTAGATGAAGATGCTCAGGCTTTTAACGCCATTGGCCTCTATGGCTATCACCTGCGGCCTTGAATGCAGAAGGTGCTTGGGGGTGTGGGTGTGGCGCGCGTGCCTGACTCTGGACACCTGAGCATGGTTTTGGCATGCTGTGGAAATGAAGGGTTTTCTTTCTTTTTTTAATATCCAAAAGGGCAGGCTTTTTATGAAAAGGGAGAGAGGAGTAAAGGACACTTGCACAAACATAAGGGGGCAGAAAGAGCTGCCCCTCAAAGGAACAGGTTTGTTACCAGAGAGGCTGCGTAGTCCCACGTGGCAGCCTCGGGAAAGGAGCTGCTTCTGCTGCTTTGCCAAGGGGGAAGGTTGGTGAAAAGAAACACCTGCACAGTCACAGGCGGGCAGGAGGGCTGCTGCTTGAGGGTTTTCCTTTTTTTTTTTTTTTTTAAAGATTCATTTATTTATGCATACAAGAGCTGGGGTACAGGCCAGAGTTGTGGGGGTTGAGAGGGTCCACCAGAGACACAGCGGGGAGCAGAACAGGCAGACTACACCACTGAGGGGAGCAGCAGGCGAATCAGGAGAGGTCTGCTGCGCCATGTGGGTTTCTCGCTGGCGAGGGATGGAACTCATGCTGCAGAGGCTGTGGATTGCTTCACAGGGCAGTGCTTAACCCCTTGCGCCACCAGGGAGGCCCTTGAGGGTTTTCGTATGTCTTCTGGAATGCCAATCATACATGGGCAATAAGTAAACACGGTTCTCACTACTCTTCTCCTCTCTTCTGTTGTTGCTCTCATCAGAACTGAGGCTCAGGCCTCCCTGGTGACGCAGGGGGTTAAGATGCAACCTATGAAACTATCTGCAGCCACTGCAGCACGAGTTCGATCCCTGGCCAAGGAGCAACCTACATGGCGCAGCAGACCTCTCCTGACTTGCCTGCTGCTCCCTCAGCAGTGTATTTCCACCGATCTGCCTGTTCTGTTGCCCACTCTGTCTCTGGTGAATCTTCTCACCCCCCACATCTCTGGCCTGTCCCCAGTTCTTGTATGCATAAATAAATAAATCTTTAAAAAAAAAAAAAAACTGAGGCTCACGCTGAGTATCGGGAAAATGTGTTATTTGACTTTCATGCAAAGGCAGCAGCCACCGAAGAGTCTAGAGATTGTGGCACATGTGGATGAAGCTCATTCTGCTTCTAAAAAAAGGATCCTTCGTTGTCAGATTCTTGCCATCTTGAGGCCCTTATAACATGAAAACAGTCTGCTCCTGAACCAGAGAATTATGAGTAAACAATGGTTGTGAATTAATATCAACCCCAGTGGACAGTCGGGGCTGTGGGAAATGCAAGATGCTCACTTGGTTCTTCTTGGCTCCCTAGAAAAGCCCATTCTTTGGGCTTTTTACATTCTTTGGGTTTTTACATTCTTTCACATTTAGGATGACACAAATTATGAACTGACATTGGTAGAGAAACATCTATAAAATTGCAAAATCACTCTACCAGCAAAGTCTGACCTGTAAGTTCATGATCCTGGAAAACTGTTTATCCCCAGAGGCCTGAGGCCTCCTTCCTCTGGATCTTCTCGACAGCTGCAGCTGGACTTTATTTGACAGCCACTTCGTGTCAGTTACCAGTGTGTTCTTGTTACAGGATGTATGTTTTCTGGACAAACTGAAGTCTTTCCCGTTGCGAGGCTGATGTCCTCCCAGTGGCAAATAAATTGTTAGAAAACATGTACACCTTCCACAATCTCAAGTGATCAAGGTAGATACTTCAAAGGGCAAATCACAGACCCTTAATGATAACCTTGCAAACGTCTTGAAATTATCACTGTCCCTTCCGACCGCAACCATCAGGCAAGGTCAAGAGAACTAATGGGATCCTCAAACTTAAGATTTCTAAACTTGGCAAAAACACTGGACCCCGTGGCGTAAGTTATTACCTCTGGTCTTACTGACTAATTTGCAGCACCCACTTTGGAAACATAAGCTCACTACATGAGAGAGTCCCGAGCAGACCAGTATGTACTCATATAAAATCTTCTGCTAATCCCTTGTCTCACACTAGTATACAACCAGCTCCTGTAAGTCTCATGCTCAAGCACACCATCATCTGGTTAAAAAAAAACTCTCCCAAGGCCTCTCTGGTGATGCAAGAGGTAAAGCACAGCAGTGTGAAGCAGTCCGCAGCATCTGCAGCACCAGTTCCATCCCTGGCCGGCCAGGGAGCTCCCCACATGGTGTAGCAGACCTCTCCTGTCTCCTGCTCCCCTCAGCAGTGTGTTTCAGTCGATCTGCCTGTTCTGCTCCCCACTCTGTCTCTGGTGAATCCTCTCACCCCCTGCACCTCTGGCCTAGACCCCAGTTCTTGTATGTATAAATAAATCTTTAAAAAAAAAAAAAGAACTCTCCCATATCTCAATTCACAGGATCCTGTTGGTTATAGTCAGGAGCGCAGTGACTGGGCATTCTGGAAGCACCACCAGAGGATGACAGCCCTCGAGCCCCAATGGAAGGGACTCTAAGTACTCCTGACTGCTTACCTGGCTACAAGACTAGAAGGTGTTGAGCCTTGGACTCACATCTTCCAGCTAAAGAAGGTGCCACCTGATATCTGGTGCTGTAAGGGCGGTGAAGACCTACAGATCAAATTGACGAGCAAGAGGAAGAGCTGACACGGAGGTACGCTGCTTCCTCCCAAGATGCTGATGGAGACTCCAGGCACTAACTAAACACAAAGCCCTTTCCCTTCCTTTGCTCTGCATTGGCCTGGGAAAATAAGGCCCTGGTCCGTGCCTCTCGGGCCAGCTCAGCGGAGGCAACCTTTGGGATAGCTGATGTCCTGTGAGAGAGCCACACTCCTCCCTGTGACCGATTTCTCCTCTATTACTAACATCACTGCAAACTACAACTGAGCCCCTCAGAAACTGCCCACCGAGTTCAACTTCTAGAGCCAGAACAATCTCTGTTCCTTAAAGATTATGTCCAGAGTTGTCCCTGCTAACACTACCTGCTGTACCTAGATTGAGGCCTCTGGGGAAGCTGAAACAGTTTAAGATCATTGAACAAGCCATAAGCCTTTAAAAAGTGACTTCTGGGCCTCCCTGGTGGCGCAGCGGGTTGAGCACCGCGCTATGAAGCTGTCCGCAGCCTCTGCAGCGCGGGTTCGATTCCCGGCCGGCCAGGGAGAAACCCACATGGCGTGGCAGACCTCTCCTGCCTCGCCCGCTGCTCCTCTCAGCAGTCTCTTCAGTCTGTCTGCCTGTTCTGCTCCCTGCTCTGTCTCTGGTGAATCCTCTCACCCTCCCATGCCTCTGGCCTGTACTCCAGTTTGTGTATAAATAAATAAATCTTTAAAAAATAAAAATTAAAAAAAAATCTTAGTCTCTTTCAACTTTACAATAATAAAAACAGTGACTTCTTCAGCAGGGTTTTTCTTTGATTTGATTTTGACTGGTTTTGGTCCGAGGGACTGTGGCTCCGGAGAACACTCAGCACACTGGGAACTCGCCTTGTACTTATTATAACAGTCTCCCTGGATTGCGGGATTCCCTCAAAAGGTTTTTTTTAATTTTAATTTTTAATTAGATTATTTTTATTGAGGTAGTATTTACAGCATTGTATGTTTTAAGGGTACAGGTTCACGCCTCTTCTCTCAAAAACTTTAAATGCACACTCACAGCTGCCAACCCCCCAGCCAGTGACGACCTAAGACCAGCACGCCAGAGAAGGAGCAGGCGAGCGACTTCACGACGGTGCGCCTGAAGCCACGGCCTGCGAGCAGCACGGGGTGGAACCGAGTCATCACGCTCTGCGGGCACTGGGTGGGCGGCGCGGAGTGCTTCGGAGCTGTCACTGGGAGCGGCGTTAATTAGTGCCTTCATTTTGCCTGAAATTTTGATCCCACCTCGGTAAGGCTGAGAGTCTGATGGGGCTTGTTAGAAAGGAGACAGCAGGAGTCCGTCTGTGCTAAGCCGCGTGCCGTCAAGCCGAGACGGACTCCCTAATTAGTCTCAACCCTACTCAGGAGTGGACTTTGAAACCAGGCCTCCTGGTTTCCAGGCCAGCACGAGTGAGGTCACCTGCCCGACAGGACCCCCTGCCTTCCCTGAAGTGAAGGGAACCTCACCTGAATCCACCCTTTCCGTTTGCTAATCACCTCCTAGCCCCCCACCTTTCTGCTTGGGATGCTGCTCAACTCACGAATCCTTTCATGGAGCCAAACAGACCTTGAAATTGACTCAGATGAATTTTCCTTTTTAACAGGTAACGTCTAAGGAGGGATCAGAGGTGGCAACAGCCTGAGACCCAGCTGTGCTTTGCTTCCCAGCAACAGGCGGCTGCCGACGCTGAGCTGCACCTACCCTCCGGTACCTAGAGCTCAGGGTTTGCACCCGCCACCCCACCCTGTACCTACATACAGGGTCTCGGTGCCCGCCTATGGCCACCCCCCCCCCCCCCCAATGGGCTGCCAAGCCCTGGGTCAGGGGAAAGTCCCCAATCCCAGGTATCACTCTGGGCCTAAACAAACCTAGATTCCCCAAACCTCAGTGACTTTCTAGATGATTCTGCAGGCTCCCTGGTGGGGGCCGCCTCACAGGATGCCTGGGCCACCATCCTGGTGCCCACACAGTCTCTAGCCACCTGCCCAACTGAGTCCTCCCATTGAACAAGCCGAGTCAGGGGCTGGAAGGGGCCTCCATGTTTTATTGGGGATACAGCAGAAGCAGAGCCTGGAAGCAGAGCAGCCCTGTTTTTAATGACAGATAAATTAACCACAGTGCGGGGGGGGGGGGGGGAGGGACATGGCTGGGAGTCGGGCTAGGTGCTTTAATATTAAAAAAACACAAAAAAGATAGACAAACGGACCCCAAAGACACGGGGCATGGGAGGGCAGCACCATCCAGACAGCAGGGAGGACCAGGATAGACAGAGAAGGCAACTTGACCCCTTGGCCCCAAACCTGACCAGCTTGGGGCCTCTGGACTGGCCCCACGGGGCTCCGGGGTGGGCAGCAGCCAGGTTGGGTGGAGATGGCACAGCCGGTGGGCAGGGAGCCCAGCACCACAAGATGGTTTAGCCTGAAGTGGGAGCTGGGAGCTTGGCCACAGCAGTGCCGAACTCCCGTGCCCCAGAAGAGCCTCACTCTGGTGAGAGAAGGGACCAAGGGCGAGGCTCCTCCCTGAGCTGAGAGCGGTTATCTCCTCCACAGCAGCAGTAGGGTGTCAGGAACCCCGTCACCCTATTATCCACCTGCCTCCTTGGTCCTTTCAGGGCCTGAGGAGAGCCAGTCCAGTCTGCGGCCCCCCACTCCAGGGGGCTGGGGGGCACCGTCCTCAGCCCTGACTCCCGCAGGAGGAGAGCGAGTCATAGAGTGAGTCACTGAGGGATTCTGAGGTCTCCAGCCCGGGGGGGCCCACACTGGCCACTCTCCCTTCCTCACCCATGTCCGAAGTGCTGGGGGTGCGGCTACCCCCAAACGCTGAGCCCTGGGGCGTGGGGGCTGGGCGGCTGGGCTCCAGGCTCCGCTTCTGGTCCACAGGCAGGACCTGGGAAAGAAGGGGTGCTCGGGAGGGAGCTCCTCTCCTCTGGGCTCTGCCACCTGCCGCGGGCACCCTCAGAGGAAGCAGGCAGAGACCCGAGTGGGCTCGGCCCCGGCCCGGCCCGGGGCAGGCTGGAGACCCTCTCCCGGGGGGTGAGACGGTGACGGGCGGCCAGGAGAAGGCTCCAGGGGCGCTTGAGCCACCCTCCCCCCAGGACGGGCTGAAGCGCGTTGGCGAAGCGGGTTCCCCGTGCCACTCTCTCCCCTCGGCCCCCCCCCCCGCCTGTTCTCATTCCCCTCAGCCGCGCTCACCAGGGGGGTCCTGGGCAGCCCCTCCAGCTGCCGGGGTGGGCACAGGAAGGGGTCCGAGGAGCCGCCGGCTGCTCTGGCGTTGGGGAAGGTCCAGTTCTTGGCCAGCTGGACGGCAGGGGGCGGGCCCGGGTCTTCGCAGGGATCTGCCCGAGGGAGTGAAGTGAGCAGGCGGGGCCGCTGGGCAGCGCTCCCGGGACGGCCCCCGCGCGGGCACTCACCGTCGGGGCAGGCCTGGTGGCCCCGGTGGCCCGGAGCGGCGGCGAGCAGCGCAGGGAAGGCCGGCATGCTCGGGTGCCGCCCGCTCACCAGCAGCTCCTCCAGGCCCGGCACCTCACGCTCCAAGGTGTGGGCGCGGCGGGGGACTTTGGTAAGGGGTGGGGGCCGAGCTGGGTGCACCCCCGGGGGGGGTTCCAGTCGTGGAGGCTTCGTCTTGGGAAGATTCTTGCTGGGGGTCCCGCTGCCGCCGTGGTCCGGGGGCGGGAAGGTCCCAATGCCACTGTCGAGGGTTCTAGTCAAGGAGCCGCAGGCTGGGAAGGGGAAGGAAGTCGAGGGTGAGTGGCTGCGGGTGGCTCAGCCCCTCTGCCTTCTGGCTTCCTGCTCCGGCTCCACCTTGGCCAGGCCCCTTCTGGCCCAATAGGCTGTCACCCCCGCTGGCCCGACCTGAGGAAGCGGGTACAGAGCAGGTACCGCCCCGATCCTGTGCAGCTCCAATGCCCACCCTGTGCCGACATCAAGCTGGCCCTTGGGCTGGCACCTGCTGCAGTGACAGGAGGAAGAAGGGGGAGGAGGCCAAGGGCAGGTCTCATCCTGACCCCAACCCTGCTGACCCCAACCCTGCTTACCTGTGAAGTGTGAGGTGGGCACCGGCTCGGCCAGGCTTTCCTCCGGGGGCAGCTCCTCCTGCCTCCCAGGCTCGCTGCTTGGCTGTGTGGGGCACAGGTGGCGTCAGAGCCCAATCCTCCCGCAGCCCAACCCCTCCCCAACTCTGCCACTAGGTGCCCAGAGTATGGTTCCGAGTCCCCACAGCTCCCGGCCCTCAGGAGGCCTCTCCCCTCCCAACACTCAGCAGCTCCCCGGGGAGGGAAGCCTCAGGGTGAGGCCTGGCAGGGCTGCAGGGCTGGGCCTCTTTCCAGCCTCGCTCCCGCCCCAAGCACCTACCTTCCCGGAAGCCTTTCCACAGCCCTGAAGAGGACCCACCAGGCCGTTTCGGGCCCCGCAGGCTGGCCAGGGGGCCTTGCAGTCAGAGGACACCGGCTGGAAATCGCCATAGTCGGGTTTGGGTTCCCGCCAGCTCTTGGGTGGCAGCTCCTTGCCATCCACCCTAGGGGCAGCAGGGCAGGCCGAGGTGAGGGCGTCTGGGCCCACCCAGACATTTTTGCTCTCTCCAATGGTGCTGGGCTCGGGGAGCACCCACTGCCCCCTGCCCCTGGGGAAGGGGACATAACCCTGGTGGTTGTCCCAACTATTTCTTCTGACACTGAGAAGAGCAGTTCCTAGAGAAAACCCCAGAGAACAGGGGAGGTGGGAGAACTTCCCCCAGAGCTAGGGATTAGTCCCAGGATTAGTCAGGCCTAGACATCGTGCAGGAGGGCAAACCCCATCACTCCCAGGTCCACCTCGACTGTCCCCGCTGAACTGAACGCACTTGCAACCCAGGCCTCACCCTACCTGGGGCCCAATCCCTCAGACCTTCTATCTGGTCCAAATGGAGCAACTGAGATGGGGTGGCCCCTTCGCTAAGCCACAGCTTCCATTGTTGAGTCTGTGGTGTGAGCCAAAGGGCAAGACGGGAAGGGGACCCGCCTTGTTCCACAGGATAGTAATCCCCCAAGGGAAAAGCCTTCAGCCCATTGTTAGGAACCAGCGTCCACTCTATTGCGTGCAGGCGCTAAGATGGATGCCTCATCTGACTGGAGACGATCCAGGAAAATCTGGGCTGTTAGCTCTCCTCAAGGAGACACAAACTGGGCCTCAGTAAGTCGGACATCAGGCAGCCAGAGAAGACGGGAGCTTGGGCACAAGCCCCGTGCTTTGGGTCTGAGTCCCTGATCTTTCCTGCAGGCCAATGACCCCCAGATGCTTTTACTTGTCCTTCTACCCCTCTGACTTCCGGGAAGCCCGCGCTCCCAGGAAAGGCACCTGGAGCTGCAGCTCCAGGTGTGTCCACAGGAGGACAGCACCCCCGGCCACTGAGCACCTCAGAACTGGTCCAGGCCCTCACCTGTTGAGCAGCTGCTGCATGAAGGTGTCCGCGCCCTGGTACATGCCGGCCAGTTGACCTTGCACCTGCCCAAGCCCTGCACTGGGCCCTGGGGCTGGTCCTCCGGGCCGGGGCCGGGCCCGGCTGCTCAGGTAGGCCTTCTCCTCCTCCAGCGCCCGGCGCAGGTCTTCCGCCTTCGCCATCAGCTTGGAGATGTTGAGGCTCTCGGCCTCCAGCTTCCGGGCTTCCATCTTGACTTCCTTTCGGAGGGGGGAGCCCCCACTGGCCCCTTCCTTACTCTTGGTGGCCTCTGTGCGGCGGTTCAGCGCTGGCAGCTTGCTCTTCTTCAGGCCAAACCAGCTGGCGATACTGCTGGTGTTGCGGTGCTTGGCCTCGGAGCCCGGCACCCGCTCCTGGCCCTGCAGACGCAGCACGTTCTCCTCGATGCCCTTCATCACCTTCTCCTCGATGGCAGAGTGGGGGACCCGCCCTTCAGGGCCCTGGCTTGGGTCGGCAGGGTCAGGCGCCGGGGAAGTGGGCTGGGAGGGGGTGCTGCCACAATCTGCCCAAGGAGGGCCCTTTCCCTTGTCAGCTTTGGGGGGCTCCTTGGTGGCTGGGGGGGCGAGAGGTCGGGGCACCACCTTGGTGGGGGACTTGGAAGGCAGCTTTGTAGGGCTGCCGTGGGGGCTCTTACTGGGCTTGCCCAGGCTGGGGGCTGAGGTTGGCACTTTGGCAGGGGTGCGGGGTACCTGGGGGCACAGAGCCCCTGCCAGCCGGGTCTTGGCCAGCTCCACTTTGGTGAGGCAGCTCCTTGGTGATACAGGCTCCAGGTCCACCCGGGCCCCCATGGAGTGGGATGAGTAAACTCGGGCCCCAGGGTCCCCCAGGATCCCAGGTTCCTGTTGCTTCAGGCTGCTTGTGCCTAAGGCCACTGCCCCCCGCAGAGCTCCTTTGGCTTCTGGCTGCTCAGGCCTGGGGGTGGGGGACACCGTGTCTCCAGTGCCTTCCCCTGATCTTCCTGCTCCCCGGGCCTTCTCGGTGCCAGGCCTGGCCGGCACCCCATTCTTCTCTGAGCCCTGAAGTCCATCAGGGCCCGTCTTCAGTTTCCCTAGGGCTGTCAGCCTATCCCGCAGAGGTGTGTAGCCGGCATCACCAGGCCGCCGGCCTGCCCCCTGGCTGGGCTTCTTGGATGAGCTGCCTGGAGTCCTGCGGCCGGGATGGGGGGACTCGGAGCCTGCCTTCTCCAAACTCTTCTCCTGGCTGCTCCCATAGGGACAGGATTCTGGGAGGCAAGGGCTAGGGGGCACTCCAGGGCTTCTGAGGACCTCAGGGGCCTGTGGCACCTCCAGAGTTAGTTGCGGGTAGGTGGGCACCTGCAGTGGGGATGGAGGAGGCTCTGGGGAAGGTCCCCTAAAGGTGCTCCGGGAAAGGTCCAGGATATTCTCATAGCAGGGAGACACTACCGGTCCTGGGGACAGCGTGGTGGTCAAGGCTGGAGGTCTGAGCTGTGTAGAATCCAGCGTCGTGGAGCAGGGTAAAGGGCTGGTGGGCAGGCCCTGCGCCCCCTCTGGGGACAGCTCTCCTCCACCCAGGCCCCTGCGGGCCAGCAGCGGGGAGGGGCTGCCGTCTGAGCCACTGTTCCGACAGGGGATTCGGGAGTTCCGAGGGAGCTGGGGACTGAGCTGGGGCCCTCCAGGGCTGGGGATCTTTTCTGAGGCTGGAGGCAGCTTTAGGAACTTGAGGCCTCTGGCTGAAGAGGGCAGAAGGGGCCCCTGGGCTTCCCCAGGAGAAGGAGGGCCAATTTGGAGCTTGCTTTTCACCTGAGATGAGGAATGGGAGTGGCCAGGCCGTGAGCCCAGGGGGGCATCCCCCGCACCCATGAACATGCTGAGGAAGGGCAGGGGCCCTTGGCCCTCTGAGGTAGCAGCAAAGCCCGGCCTGTAGGCCTCTGGGGTACTCCCACCCCATGCAGACTTGGGGAGGCCTTTGGACTTGGACAGCTGTGGGGTCCCTTGGTCTGGGGAGGTTGGTTGCCCAGGACCTGGGTGGTCCCCATTGAGAGGCCCTGCAGCTCCAGCCAAGAAGACCTGTAGGTAAGACTCTGTGTCCTCAAGGAGCTGGCCCAGGTTCAACTGTTTCCGGGTCAGGGCCCCAAGCAGAGTGTCGGGGCTGGGTGCCTCGTTGGGGTCACCTGCCTCATCAGAAGAAGAGGAGGAACTGCTGCCTGGGGCACAGGGCGGGTTGCAGCTGGCACCCTGGGCCTGGGGGGAGCCTCTACCGGGCCCCCAGGACCGTGCAGTACCCTCCTCCTCCCCCAGGCTCCCCAAGAGGCGCTCCCAGTGCAGCAGGCCTCCCAGGCTACCAGGGCCGAGGAGCAGGTAGGGGGCCCAGGGTGCAGGTTCAGGCTGGGGTGGGCCGCACAACTCGCCGTTGATGGGCTCTGGGGAGCCTTGACCCTCGCCCGGAGGCTGCCAAGGGGTGGCAGGTGAGCACAGAAGCAAGGGGTCAGTCTCTTCCAGGGCTCTTAGCACCTCCAGGATCTGGGCTTTCTTTCGAAGAAACGGGGAGAGGGCATCCAGCACAGGGGGTGGGGTGGCTGGGGTTCCCAGGCCTCCTGTCCGAAGCTGCTGTTCCCAACACACCTTGGGGGAGAAGCGGCACAAAGAGGAAACCATTGGCAGTGTGCTGGGAACAGAGTCAGTCTGGCTTTATCTGTGTCCCCAGAAGAAACTGACACTCCCGGGACATGTCCCCAGAAGAAGCTCAGCTTCCTCGAGGGTCACTGAGCCCTGGTTACCCTGACTCTTCTTCCTGGCACACCAGGGGTCTGGTGGGCCCCCCTACCTCCTTTCCTGGTTACCCCAATCCCCCATTCCCTACACTCCCCACGGCTGTCTGGGGCAGCAGGCTGACAGTCACGCTTGCCCCAGGCAAGGGAGCCCTGTCCATTTTTTAGACTCAAGCGGGGGTTGTGATGTCGTCAAGTCCTATCAGTCACTGAAGGCAAAGCCCAGGCCTTCTCAGGTCGGAGAGCCGACCCGCTGACCTGATTCCCCTGGGGAAGGGGGACGATTCTCTGGCAAGCCCTCCCTGCTTCTGCCTGGGCCCTTCTCTGGCTTGGTGCCATCTGGGATAGTGGTAACTACCTGGCCCCTGGAACCAGTCTCCGGAGGTTCAAGTTCCAGGTGTATCACTGAATTAGTTCTATGACCTCTGGCAACTCATTTGAGCTCTAAGTTATATTGTATGGCCTGTCAAATAGGTGATAACTTGTCTAACTTCATAACATAAGTGAGATGCAGGTGTGCACAGGGCAAGCGTTCAGGAAGCATTAACGGTGACACTGCAGTGCAAACCATCTGCTCCAGGCCCAGTGGCTGGAGGAGGGATGTGTTTTTCTTGGGGTGATACTGACAGCTGAGGGTTCCCACTTCTGGCCCAGACAAGAATCTGCAAGGGGAAGCAGCCCTCCTTAGGAAACAGCAACGGGGGCCTCCCTGGTGGCACAAGGGTTAAGCACAGCACTGTGAAGCTATCCACAGCCTCTGCAGCACAAGTTTGATCCCCGGCCAGGGAGGTGACCCACATGGCGTCCCACATGGAGCAGCAGACCTCTCCTGTCTCGCCTGCTGCTCCCCTCAGCAGTGTATTTCAGTCAATCTGCCTGTTCTGCTCCCCTCTCTGTCTCTGGAGAATCCTCTCACCCCCCACACCTTTGGCCTGTACCCCAGTTCTTATATGCATAAATAAACAAAGCTTAAAAAAATACACTAAAAAAAAAACCAAAATGAAACAGCAATGGAACATTGACTGATAAGATCTCTGTGTCCAGCCTTCCTACCTCTCTCTGCCCAGCACAGCGCCCGAGAGGCAGCAGAGTAGCTGATCTCTCGACGGAGCTCAGGGAAGGGGAGGATGGTGGCTCTGATGGTGGCTGGAGTGGGGCGAGTGGAATCTGCAGGAGAGAGACAGAGTTAGCACAGGCACTAGGCCTTCCCATCCAGGGACAGGAAAACACTCTTCTATGTGTGAGCCTGCGGGACGGCTCCAGGCCTGAGGGCAGCTCTTGCCGCTCACTGTCCCCACCACTTGGTCAGAGGCGCCTTAGGAGCTCAGGGCCCAGGAAGAATGAAGACAGTGTAAGCCCAGGTGGCAGGGGCGTGTGGGGAGGTGTGGGTCTGGTCTGCAGACCTGCCTTCACCCCCAACAGTGCCAGCCTTCTGGGTTGACATCTGCTCTGAAAAGCGGGGGCCTTGGAAAGGCCCTGTGGTTCAGCCCAATTCCATATATGCTGGCAAAGGCAGCGCTCACAGCAAGCAATCAGTGTTTGCTCAATTAGAGCTTTCATCCCAGCAAAGCACAGCTTGGGAGGAACATCAAAAAATAACTGCCATTTATTGACTATTTACAATGTGTCAAGAGCTAGATAGTATCTCATTTAATCCTGACAACCTGCAATGCAGGTATTTTTTAATCCCGATTTTTTTTAAGATTTATTTATTTATTTATTTATTTATTTGTTTATACAAGCACTGGGTACAGTCAGAAGCGCAGGAGGGTAAGAGAATTCATCAGAGCCAGAGTGGGGAGCAGAACAGGCAGTCCAATGAAGTACACTGCTGAGGGGAGCAGCGGGCAGCAGGAAAGGTCTGCGCGCCATGTGGGACCCTCGCCCGGCGACTGGGGATCGAACCGGCGCTGCAGAGGCTGCGGGCAACTTCACAACCCAGCGCTCAACTGCTGCACCACCGGGGAGGCCCTTTTATCCCGATTTATAAGGAGAAAAACTATGGTCCGCAAGGTTGAATAGTTTGCCTAAGGCCACACTGCTAAGAATTACCTAAGCCAGGGCTCCGACCCAACTTATCTGAGGCCAAGGTTCATGCTCTTCCCATTATGTCATGTCACCTCTAGGGAAGATAAATCTAATGCTTCAAACCCCAGTAGGTTCCAGAATTTAAGTAAAAAACAAATCATCTAAGGATGACCTGCACTCTGCTCTCACTGAGAAGGGCATTGGGGGGGGGGGCGCGGGGGTGGTGAGCTCAGCTATGTGGTTAGGCCTCTGGAGGCTCCTGGGTGGACTCTGTCACAGGGACAGATGGGCTAAGGGGTGCTGAGTCACGGCCACCGGTCGGTGGCCCAGGGGGTGGGAGCTCTGCAGTGGCCCAGCTCTGCAGTGGCCCGGGGGTGGGAGCTCCAGAAAGCCCATGTGGGCGAGAGCCTTCCTTTGTTGGGGCTCGGGCTTTCTAAGGTGTTAAGGGCATACTGCTCCGGGCTGCCCAGCTGGCATCTCACACACACAAATTCAGACCCACACAGAGGTGCTCTTCTTTCTGTCAAGGTTGGGGTGGGGTAGGATGTCCTCATTGGCTGCAGAACCCCCTGTCAACCTCAGATGCCTGGTGTTGCTCCTGATCTTCCCGCCCCCATGTGTCCCCCTATCCATGGGGCTTCTTGACAGACCCTAAGTGACATCTTAACTGGGCAGGATTCACTCCTAAGAGCCTTTTCTCGGGCGAGGCAAGCGTCAGGGCTGGAAGCAGAGACCGGTGTCCGTTCACACCTGCGTCAGTGGGTGAGCCTGTGTGACTCTGTGGGGGGAGCACTCATGACAGCTCTGTGCCACCAAGCACCTCACACCAGGCCCCACGCCTGCCCCTGGCCAAGAGGAGGCACTCAGGGGCCACAGGGACCCCTGCACCTCCTCATACAGGGTGGAAGCAAGCAAGAACCTTCCATGCCAATAAGAAGGGATGCAGGGCCTCCCTAGTGGTGCAAGGGGTTAAGCACAGCACTATGAAGCTATCCTCTACAGCACGAGTTCGCTCCCTGGCCAGCCAGGGAGCTCCCCACAAGGCACAGCAGACCTCTCCTATCTTGCCCGCTGCTCCCCTTAGCAGTGTATTTTGGTAGATCCACCTGTTCTGTTCTCCACTCTGTTTCTGGTGAATCATCTCACCCCCCGCACGTCTGGCCTGTACCCCAGTGCTTGCAAGCATAAATAAATCTTTAAAAAATAAGGGGTGCCATCCAGTGGGTGGGGAGCCCCCAGCAGGTGCAGGGCACAGGCTCAGATCTATCAGGCAGATGCGTCTTCCCGGGGTGGCCACAGACCCTGGAATGAAGAGGGAAGGTCTGCTGCCTGCTTCAGTAGGCCTTGTGAGAAAAAGGGTCGTGATGATCAGGGAGTGGGGGAGGAGGGAGCTGAGGCAGCTGAGAGGGGAGGAGAGTGGCTGGTGCCCACCTGAGGGAGGGAGCCAGTCGTGAGCTGGAGTTTCTGCTGAAACAGGGCGCACAGCATCTGGTTCTGCCGTTCCAGGTCAAACACCCTCTTCTTCAGCTTGATGCACTCTTCCCGCAGGTCCTGTGCCGGCCCAGGAATGGCGGAGAGAGGGATGGTGGTGGGGAGGGGGCATGTGAGCAGCGGGCACTCCTGCCGGGCACGTCTTCCCCCGCACCCACCCCCGCCACGTCCTTCCACGAGGGAGTCCAGCCTGCCCAGGTCTGCAGCTACTGAACCTTCTGGGGATGGGAAATTCTCTAAAGTCCACCCCTTCTGGTAGCAGGTGAATCCCATTTCCTCTGGCATCTTTCCCATTCCTGAAGCCGGCCCTCTCCTTGCTACACATCAAAGGGCCCATATAAGGCAAAGGAAGACCTGGGGTCAGAGTGGGGGTCAGAGTGGCCCATATGCCAAGAAGTTTCCCACAGCCCTTGAGTAAATATTTAGATGCTGCCTTGTGCTCACACCAACGCAGCTTTCAGGGCCATCACAACTTCGAGAAACCAGCGGGGCTAGGATGCGGGGATGGTTCAAGAGCAAATCGAAGTTACCACAGCTCAAGAGACCTGGGCTTCAGTAGCCCACCCCTACCAGCAGGCAGAACAGCACGGCCCTGCCTCTCAGGGGAAGGAGGACACTGTCCTCCGGCAACAGGATTATTTCCACCACTTCCTCTCTAGCCCCTGGCTGAGCAGCTTCGGGGTCCCTGGAAGCGCCTCTTCTGGGTACCCAGGATCTCAGGTCTCTCCTCAGGGATCTGGGTTCAGAGGTGAGAAAGCTGCCCAGGGACGCTTACCTTCTGGTTCAGCAGCGCCTGCACCACGTGGTTGGCAACCTGCAGACAGAAAGCCCCGGGCAGAGCCGTCAGCCATGCCAGCGGCGGCCCAGAGCAGACAGGCTGGGCCGCCTCCCGGCACAGCCCCGCAGACCCACACACCTCGTCCAGACAGCGCTCGTAGGTCTCCCGCTGGTTCTCGTTGGCCTGGGCGAGGGCTGAATTCTCCGCCTGCAGGAAGGAGCAAGAGGGCAAAAAGGAGGCTACGGGGTCCTTCCTCCCCAGGGGCAGATTCCTTTTGGGGAAAGGGACAGATGGAGTTTACCGGCAAAGGGAGTGGACCCAGAAGGCCTGCACCGGCTCCCCAGGGCTCCGGCCAGCACTGCCACCTCCACCGCACCCCAAGACCCACCTCCAGCTCCCGCAGGCGGTGCAGGAGCTCCTGGCAGGTGCCCGGCTCCATGCCGCCGTCACCGCCGTCTCCCGGCCTCGAGTTCCCAGGACTCGCAGCCAGCTGGTCCATGGCGTCCAAAGACATCAAGTCCCTCCGGTGAGAGAAGCCCCCGCGGGCTACTCCGGGGCACGGGGAGGTGAGCAGAGGAGGACGACAAAAAGGAACCTTGTCAGTATCCTGGGAGGCTGGAGCCGTGGGACCAGAGCCCCACAGTCACTGTAACAAGCACCCCAGGGTCAGGTGAGGCCTCCCCAGTCCTGGGGGACACCCGCTCGGCTCATCTTCAGAACAGAGAGCATTGCTGTGCAAACCCCGCATCTGCACTTGCCTACCCCAGGCCGCGCCGACACGCCCGGGAGCTGAGAAACCTGCGTTCTCCGCCGAGACTGGCCTCGGGCTGGCAGGCAGGATCCTCCCGGGTGCAGCTAAGGCAGCCTGCACACCCCAGGACCCTTGCTTCCGGGGAGGCTCTCTGCGAATGCTGGCCGCTCGGCAGGGTCTCCTGAAACCCTCATCCCCTCTTAAAGTTCTTTTTAAAGCAAAAACAAAACACCCACCATCACCCATTCCATCCACCCCACAAGCTCCCACCTCCACCCCCTTCATTTCTGGGGAACTCAATTCAGCTTCCGTGTCCACTAGTTCATTTTTATTTTGTCTGTTCTGCTTATACTGCACATATAGGTGACACCCTCCAATAGGTCTTTATCTTTCTAATTTCATTTCCCACAGTCCCCATGAGTTCCATTTTGCTGTAAATGGCAAAATTTCATCTTTCATCTTTCCTTGTAGCCGAAGAGCATTCAATTGTGTATGTTTCCATATCTCTAGCCAATCCCCTGTAGGCAGGCCCTGGGGCTGCTTCCATGTCTTGGCCATTGTCACTAAGGCTTCAGGAAACATTGCGGTGCCCGTAATTCTTCAAATTGAGGATTTCACGTCCTTTGGACAGACACCCGGAACGGAGACTGCCGGATCACACGGTACTTCTGTTCTCAGTTTTCTTGACAAAGGACTACACCACTTTCCAACATGGCTACAACAATTCACATTCCCACCAGCAGCGTGAAAGGGCTCCTCTTTCTCCACATCCTCGCCAATAATTGTTGCTGTTGTCCGCCCTCTCCCTTGGCCAGCTCCTCCCTCGTCACTCTTCAGGCCCCTGCTCCCAGCCTGGGTCAGCTCTGCCGCTGCATGACTCTGTATTGTGTCCCCCAGAACGTCAGCTCCGGGAGAGGAGGGCGCCATGTTGCCTTCACTTTTCGGATCCCGGGTCAGAGCACTGTTTGTGCACGATGCTGGCGTGGCGGAGAGGGACTGACAATGAGGCTGACAGGTGTGTCGCTGCTTAGACAGGACACAGCCAGGCTTCCGACCTGACCTGCGTCACGTCATGTGAACCCCCCCACCCCGACCCCACCCCAGACACCACACTGCACTCTTGCCATCATCACTGGCTTTATCTGACTAGTCAGCCACTCGAGTTCCAATTTCTCTGTTAAAGGAAAGAATTCATTTCCTTCTTCTGCGCAAAAATTGTAGACATCCCCACCAGGTGCAAAACCCTTCCTAACGAAAACCAGTGGATGTTCCTATTCTGCCACAGGCCACTCACCTCTCTGACCCATTGAAGCCCCCACAAAAAGGGGCCTTTAAAGCTTTTGGACCCAGGAAAGAGCAGCCCTCGGCGGCTCAGCAACCAGGCATCTGAGAACTGTCTCCTGCATCCTCCCCGAGGCACAGGCTACCTCGCCCACCCCCAGCCTTTTCCCAGCCTGCACCCCAGTGCACACAGGTGCAGCGTCCCTCACCTGTCTCTGCCCCTCACCCAGGCCGGCACTCTCACTCTGGCAGCCAGAATGGTCACCTTGCCTGTGGAGAAACAGAGGAAGTCCAGTCAGGCACGCGTTCCACAGCGTTTCCGGGTGCTGGGCCACAGGGATGACACCCAGGGCGCCCTCCTGCCCAGGGGAGGCAGAGAACACGCAGATAAACCGACGAACATGTGTCGGGTCCTGGGAAGGTGCTGAGAGGGACCAGTGAGGCAGAGATGGAGTGAAGTCTGGAGCGGGAGAAGTGGTCAGGGCAGAGGAAAGAGCTGGGCCAAGGCCCTCGGGTCGCAGCCAGCAGTCACTGGTAACAGGAGGGCAGAGCCACACAGAACTTTACGGCCCTTCCACCATACACACCTTCTTCACGCCTCACGACCACAAGAGGATTAGCAACACCTGTATGCGAGATGCCACCTCTGCATGTGTCCCCTGTGCCACGGTGTGCGGCACCTTCTCAGGCATCCCAGTATCTGATTCTAACAACCCTGTAAGGGGGGCACTAGCCTGGTGCGGAAGCAGCCCCAGGAGCAAGGACACCGCCTACATCACGTGTCTGCTTCACGAAGCCCACTGCATGGGCCTGGACTCCGCTGCCTACGCGGCCACCTGCACACTCAGGTTGTACCCTGAGCTCCGGAGAAGGCCGGGGCTCCCAATGTGTCACAGCTACAGCTGTAGGTAAGCACCTGACTCCACAGAAGCCCCCAGGTCTGTTGAGGGGAATAGAGTGAAAACACGTCTGCAGTGTCCTGCGTGACCTCAATAAAGGGAGGCTTCTCGTGGGGCAGCCTGCCCAGGCACCATCCTGGGCCTGCCTCAGGCTGCTGCTGCTCACCTCTGCCTGTGAGCGGCACCTGACGCGCACCTGAAGGTTTAAGAGCAGCCTTCATCCTGTCCTTGGGTAGCCCCCTCCTCCTCAGCCCCCCTTGACAGCCCTGGGGCTCCAGGGTCAGCCCAGCCCTCACCCTTCACGCCTGACATCCTAGAAAGAGAAAGGGTAACAGCAGAAGGGCTGCAGGGGTCTTTCTGTGCGACTGTTTTGTGTATAACTGGTGGGAAGGGTGTTTCTGAAAACTAGAGGCAAAGGAAAAAATTGTGTAGTTATTTACAGCTGTATAACCCTCTCCAGTCCTTTGTTATTTTAACATCACAAGAATGTATTGTGTGTAACTTCCTTTGCTCAGAAGGTTATCATGTTTGATGTTGAGAAATGGACAGCCATGGAAAAAAAAAAGAAAAAAATTCAAGAATATCCTCCTCACATATATAGGGGTTAAAACCAAAGAAGGCCTTGGGTGTCCAGGTTAGGGGTGAGGCCTAGATTTTGAGGACTGGCTATGCATTCTGCATATGTGGGTTCATGTGTTGAGGAGGGCAGGGACCCAATACACCCCCAGAAAGCCAACCCCTGCTACTTTCCCAGTGTTCTGTGGATCCCAGAACAGGTAGGCCCGAGTCCCACCGCGACCTTGGGGAGACCTTCTAATTGGCAAGAACAGCTATGTCACGCAGGTCAGTCTTTGTGTCCACAGTAAGGCCTAGGCTGGGCTCCAGAAATGTCAGCAGAAAGCTGTGACTCAGCTCCACTCTGGGGAGAAGTGTTCTGTCAGAGCCAAGATGGACCGGCCAAGTCGGGACAAAAGGCCTCTTTAGCCCTACAGCCACTAGCAGAGGCAGGGAGCTGTTAGCCTGGCTTGTTGGAGAGTCACGGGGAAGTGTTTTACATTTACATTTGGTGATAAAGAGGACAGTATAATGACTTAGACCAGAGCTTGAGGTAAAGATTCAAAGGTGAAAACTTCCTGTACCTTTACCCTCCTCTGGGGAATATTAAGATGCCAAGGAGGGGGCCTCCCTGGTGGTGCAAGGGGTTAAGCACCGCACTATGAAGCTATCTGCAGCCTCTGCAGCACGAGTTCGATCCCCTCTGGCCAGGGAGCTACCCACATGGCTCAGTAGACCTCGCCTGTCTCCCCACTGCTCCCCTCAGCAGTGTATTGCAGTAGATCTGCCTGTTCTGTTCCCCACTCTGTCTCTGGTGAATCCTCTCACCCCCCACACCTCTGGCCTGTACCCCAGTTCTTGTATGCATAAATAAATCTTAAAAAAAAAAAAACAAGTTGCCAAGGAGGGATAGCACCATTTCCAGCTCCTAATCAGCCTAATCAGAGTTTGGCCTGGTCAAAGCATGGGTTTTGGGCCTAAATCTCATGAGAATAAAACAGGCCCAGATCAGCTCCCCACTGGCAGTCCCTGTTGGGTGTCAGGGGGCTGCCTCTCCCCAGGGCTGAGCACCCCCTCCTCCCTCAGGACCCAGAAGTCCTACTCAGCTTCAGTGTAGAAGGAACTGAGGGACCAGGGACAGACCCCCACCCCCGCCTCCGGGGTTTTCAGGATGGTCCTGGTTTCAAACATTGTTCCAGCGGGCCCATGACACATCTGAGATGTTGGATGTTGGGTCTGGAACACACGATGCCAACCAGGCTGGTGGGTGGAGCCGCAGGGGTGAAAGCTCTGACCGGAACTGGAGGCTTCTCCAGCCAGATTCTGAGGGAGGTGACCTCGGTGCCGAGGGACGGGAAGGAGAGGAAGAGCAGAGCCTTCTGGTCCTTCTGAGGGAGTGAGGGCAGTTTGTTGGCAGTCAGGGACTGGGAAGGGGAACAACTGCTCAGGGGCCTCTGGGTAACTTGAGGACTTGGCTGGTTCAGGCCAACTGTGGAGTGACTCTGGGAGACCACTGTCTGCACAGCCTAGTCAGTCACGGAGGCCCCAGGGATCTCACTGCCCTCCCTTTCAGGCTGTCAGATCAAGGAGTGGGGTCTGCAGCTTCCACCCCTCTCCACTCAGGGCTCCGGCAAGACCCCTCCCTGAATTCAGAGTCCAGGCCAGGGAGGAAGGGGCCAGAGAAGTGGCAACAAGCCCCTTGTCCTCCTGTGCTCCCTCATCTGGGCCCTTAGCCAAGACCTCAGGCCCTGAGGAGCCCCTCACTCACCAGCTGTTCCCCCCAGAGTCCTTTAGGGAGAGCAGCCGGGGACCAGGAGGTGGGGGAGGTGTGGGCAGCTGTGGGAAGGCCGAGGAGCTCACTTGAATAACAGAATGATTCCTAAAACCAACCAACCGTTCCCCCTCTGCTCCCCGCCCCCCCATCCCCCAGCTGCTTTGTAGAATCCCCCAAGGGTCCATTTGTAAACAGCAACTCTTGTGCCCATGGCAAACTCCCCTCCAGCCAAGATCAGCTCTGAGACACGGTGGGAAGGGTTCTAAGGACTGACGCCCTAGGGCCTTCCTGGCTTAAAACTCCAACTGGTCTCCTCTCCCCTCAGGGAAGCAGGGCACTAAGAATTCCTCTCCTCCTCCTGACAACTGGTGCCCCAAGATACAATAGCGCTTCTGAGAGGCATGTGTCCCAGAGAGCGGAGAGCGGAAGGGGCCCACTGCATCCCCTTCCAACTTCCTCTTCACAGGCACTCCAGGGACCTCTGTCTCACAGGGTGAGTGCTTTTAAACGGACAGTAGGCGCTGTCCCCTGCCCTTCCAGGGAGGCAGGTGGAAGATCATGTCATGAGCCCCAAAGGCTTACAGATTTCAACACCCTTTATCCCCCTCACCCCCTCCAATCCCCTAATCATATTGGATCCTTCCTGTTGCCTGTCCATAGCACAAAAAGAGCAGCTGCTGGGGGTGGGGATAGGGAAGGGGCTCCAGCACAGACACAATGGGTTTATTTATAGGGCCACATGCCAGGGACTGTGCAGCCAAGAAGCCTAGGCCCCACTCCCAAGCCCAGCTGGGCCCAGCTGAAGGTACTGCAAAAGGCTTCAGACCAGAAGGCAGAAGATTTAGAGTCTAGTCCCAACTCTGCAGTCACTTGCTGTGTGACTTCGGGCAAATCACTCAGTATCTCAGGGACAAATTCTTTCATGCCAAGTGGAGATTGTTCTAGAGAATACTAATTCTCAAAGATGGGGCCCCCTGAGCCCTTTTCAAAGCAGTTCACAGGGTCAAAATAATTTTTTATAATACTACTAAGACATTATTTGCCTCTTTAATTCTCATTCTCTCATGAATATGTAGTGGCATTTTCCAGAGATGTGATATGCGATATCACAATAGACTGAATACAGCAGCAGATGAGAATCCAGTTTCCCTCTACTAAGTCAGACATGACAGATTTGCAAAAATGAATGATAATGCCATATTTTTCACTATTTTTTCTAATAATTATTTTTCATAAACTATACGAATATGTAATAGCCTTATTATTTTTAAATGCATGAAATAAATGGCCAGTAAATAAATGTTTAAAACCCTCAGTTCTAATTTATGACATTAATGTCAATAGATAGAACTCATATAAATGAAAGTTCTTTAGGGTCCTCGAAACAGTGTACAGGGGTCCTCAGGCCAAATAGTTTGAAAATCACTTTTCTAGAACAGTGTTGTCTAGTAGAACTTTCTGTGATAATGAAAATGTTTATTTTGTGCTGTCCAACATGGCAGCCAATAGCCATGTGGCTACTAAGCACTTGAACTGTGATCTGTGACTTGAGGGGCTGAATTTTAAATTTATATGCCCACAGATGGCTACAATGGTTACTGTACAGGGCAGTGCAGTTCTAGAAGATTCTTGGGATTCCTTGACTTGCGCATTCTAAGTCAATGCTTCTTTCCAGAGTCTAGAGGCTGGGGCAGGAGAGGACAGGATTGGATACTCACTCCTGTTCCCAGGCTTCTGCTCACACTATTTCTCACTCTTCTTGCCAAAGGACAGCCTCCTCAGCCACCTCACTGGGCCTGCCTACACCTACTCAAGGCTGACTGCTGGAGTCGTTCATTCTCCACCATGACTGCATCACACCTGCTCCACTCCCCTCAAAAACGTAGCCTGTCACCTCCCCTGTTTCCCCAGAGGACACAGGCCAGCAGAGGGACCCCTTAAATCTCCCAGTCCCTGGGCAGCCTCTATACCTGTCCATCTCCAGTCAAAGCAGAGGAGCTGCCCTCGTACCAGCATCCTGGCCCCATTAGTCTTCATCATCT